TTGTGTCTATGTCTAACCTTAATTCTTATGGTTAAAACATTATAGATTATCCAGCAAGCCTAATGAAATAGTAGTTAACCTTAACAATAGAGTCTTCAAAAAGTTCTTATGGTTAAATCATATAGATTATCCAACAAGTCTAATGAAACTCATCAAATTTTCTAATGAATTAGTAAACAGAAACTTCGCATGAACCATACAAGATTAGGCAACCAACATTATACCCATATCCATATAGCACAGGTTTTCTCAAGGTTTCTAATGTTCACACAATCTACTTGGAACAATCAAGAAACCTAAATGACCATGTGAGTATCCATTGCCTTTATCCATCAAATAAGAACGTTGGAATCTTGATAATCTGAAGCATATATCCCCAATATAAGTATTTACATTGTTGTTTTAAGTTAAGTTCCTTTCTTTATAAAAATAATTACCAAACTAAGCTTTAAATGTTAAACTAAGGACACTCGTATTTTGATTTTGCTAGAATTAGAATAATATGAGTTTGAGCCAAGGTTTTGCTATTCATTGCATGGAATTAGAATTTGTTGTATTTAATTTCAAAGTAAATAATAAAAGTGATTTTTACTACGTACTGTACATTAGCAAAATTTAAAGTTTAGATGCTTGGGTACTAACAAAATATTTAATCAAATATAATCAAATTATCTTTTACAGATATCAAAAAAATTTTCCCTTTTGGGCTATTCTACTTGGGTGGTGATGAGGTTAATACAGGTTGGTGGAGTGGTTTTCTTTTTGCTAAGAGACATCTGTGTCTTCTCTTTGTTAAAATATGCAACTATGTGCTTCCCATTTTCTAAATTGGAAGCATAGTTTTCTATACTACCCTTTCAAAGTTTATTAACACTAGCGCTAATTATTTTTTGACAGATCGCTAGACTTCAACTCCACATGTGAGCAGTGGTACATGCCTTACTCTTTTTATGGTTCGACTTTACTTCTTATATGATGATTCATGATCTCTAAATAACTGCTACATAAATCAAGCTTGATGAGGATAATAGTAACATAGCCATTTAACATTGTTGTTATGCTAGAGGTTAAGCTATAACATTTTAATATAAGCTATGCCATCTTATAAACAATTAATCTGATGAAAACAATTGCATGCTCAATGATCTCAATATGACTGCTAAGGATGTATATCAATATTTTGTACTCAAGGCTTAAGAAATGGCAATCTTAAAAGACTAGACACCTATCAATAGGAATGTCTTTATCCATGCACTACAATTGCTATTAATGTTCTAAGCATGACTTTGCTTTTGGATTTTTCTTGCATGGCAAGTTGTTAGGTCTAGCCCTATTTATTCTCACTATGTTCTCAACAAGATTTCTTAAAAGTTGTGGGATGTAGCAAAATTAATATAAAGTAAATTACCTAATATTTAGAAAACATATGTGGCCCACAAAAGTAAATAGAAAAATCAACTATCAATATATTGTTTTGCATAACTGTTCCATTTTTTGTAAATATTTACTTATCTATTCCTTAAAACTACATAAATATATGAAAAATGTAAATATTCTTCATCTCAAGGAGGAGACCTTTAATGCATTTGCATCAAATTTTAATCCATGGACGTTGGTGCATAACTGGTGGGTTTTAAGCTCTTTAAGTTTTAATTGTAAGATTATCATGCAAGAAGTTTTACTTTTCGTATTACAAGCATGAATGATTTTATTTGTTGCTGTAGGTTAGGCCTTGGGGTTTGTCCAAGGGCTGTTGCAAAAGGATTCAAATGCATTTTCACCAATCAAGGTGTTTAGTATCTTGATCATCTAGATGTACTTGGGATCAAGTCTACAATGCTGAGCCACTAAAAGGAATAAATAATGTGTCTAAGCTATTACAGTTATTTTATATGTTTTTTCTTTGATACCATTGTTATCTTATTAACCTTAAATGCTCTAATCATGCTTTTTCTTTTTCAAATAAGGTCATATTTTTCGACACCAAATACCCCCCATTTTAACCCAAAACATTAACAAGAAAAAAAGCAAATGATGTAAGGGTAGACCTTAGGCACATAGTTGTAAAAGGTGCCTTTTCTTTTTAACAAGAAAAAAGGGTGCCTTCCATAGGATCCAATAAGGTATTGATTACTTGGAATTGATATGAGTCTCCCACTTTTCTCTATTTAAAATACATGTTCTATGATGGAAGTGAGATGACATTTCAAGGTAGTCTCTTTTCTAATCATTTACCAAGGTAAACATGTTTGATTTTATTTGTGGATAGAGGATTGAAGAAATTTGTTAATGATAAATACTTGAAGGTTGGCAATTGTTTTCTATTTGCCATGATTGCACACAATGCTTTCAAAGTAATTATCTATCTTAATTGTGAATAAACTTTTTTGTTACTATGTTGTAACTTTGACATTATTATTATCTTTTGTTTTTCAGAATTGTTTTAAACATTATCTATTATCTTTTGTTCTTTTTGAACTATTTTTAGATTTTGACTTCAAATTACTATATTTCTCGCCTTTCTTTCATGAGTAACAACCTTTTTTTCCATTACTAAAACAAATCTGCAACATCGTGTGCGTCTTTACACTAGTGCATATTAAAACTATCCCCTATAGAATTTATTTGTTGATATATGTCCAATATTAAATAATGACTATTTTACTCTTTTTATATTATATAATAACCATATTACCCCATTAATTTTTTAACAACAATGAAAGATCTATACTTTTAATGTAGTTATATATTAAAACTATTTCCTAAGGTGTTTATTTGTTGACATATGTTCAATATTAAACAATGACTATTTTACCCTTGTCATATTATAAAATAACCATTTTATCCGTAAATAGAAAATAATTTAAAAATAAATAATAAAATAAAATATCCTAGAATTAAAATAACAAATCTACAATTTTTTGAAGATTAAACACATTTCTAAATGTAACAATTTTTTCTGGGTTCATAGGTTTTTTATTTACTATTTTAGAATGGCAAAAAGAGCTTTTAGCCAAAAAATTATTTGAGTTTTAGAATTAGATTAAAGTTTAATTAAATAGATTTGGTGGACTTTGATTAAAAAAAAAAGAAAAAGAGATGATGAAGAATCGAAAAAGGAATATTTAGGGTGTTTCTTTCCCTTATCAACAATGATGAATAAATTTAATATATAAATCTAACAATTTTTTAATATATCATTTTGGTCAATTTTTCTAAATTCAAAAAAATAATAAATCAAATGTATATATGAATCTAACATCTTTTAATATAAATATATATATATACACACACACGAGAGTTAACAAAGTTTGACTATTTAAACTTGACTTAAACTTCCTAATTAAGAAAAAAAGAAAAATAAAGGTGAGACAATATTTATTTATTAGTTCATAATTATTAAACTACAAATTAATTAAATTCTTTCAAAATATTAACAATTAGTCCAGTTATTAATTCTTTTGTTATTAATAATTGCTCTATGTTTTAATTACCTACTTGGGTTTGTAATAAGAAATCTACTTAAATAGTTATTAGAGGTGACAAATAGATGGTATTAGGTTGGCATGGCTCATTAAAAAATTAGTCCATGCGTTAATGTTTCGTGTCAACTCAACACTATTATTTAACGTGCCATGTTGGCATGATTCGTGAAAATTGAGAGTATGGCCCAACACAACACATAGCTCACAGCTTTTATAAGTTGTGTCGTGCCTAGCACAACACAATTCTTCATGTTGTATCGGGCCAAGTATGACTCATTAATAGTTTCTTAAATTTTTATCCTTTTTTTGAGAAAAACTTTTTTTTTATTTTTCAACTATTTTTAAAAACTATTAAATGAAATTAATACATGAGGAACATAATTTATATAGTTTAATAAAATATCTATGTTTATCAATAAAAGTTAAAAGAATTCACCAAAATTATATATGAAAATTAACAAATACTAATGTTACATATCTAGATTTTAAAAAAACATTAATATCACATTATTATTTTATTTTTTCATTTTCACTATATGATGATTAATTTATATAATGTATTTTGTCTTAGTCATGGTTTTTTCATAATCAATCTTTGAGTAATGTCTTGAATAACTCTTAAATTATAATGAAATATTCTATGTGATTACTAAATTTTAAAGATTTTTAATGTGTTACTTGAATTATAAATCTTTTAATTAATATATATGTTACTTATCTCTTATGTGACTAACTTTAAATAAGATACATGGTTAACAAATAGTCCTCCAAGTATTACATTAATTAATAAATTTATTATTTAGATATCATATTAGAGATTGTTAAAATTTAAAAATCATAATATTGAATATTTTAGTGTTCAATGGCTCTTTAATACCTTAACCCTCTGTAATAAAGAATAGTGGAGAAACTACGGCATGTCTCAAATGCTAATATTAAAAAAGTTGAAGTCATATGTTCTTTTCCATAGGACATGAAAGTCTTAAATTTTAAACTCAGAAACTGTAACAAAAACCCCACTCTACAAATGGTAGATAGTTTTCTTTCCATTTCTGTGGGCTGGTGCTCATTAAAACAGTCAACAACTAGAAGCATATTGTTGACTTTATTCTCAAAAAGAAAAACTTACAATGCTAAAGTCACTACCGGACTTCATCACAGTCATTTCTATTGGCTGATACTGGTTAATGTTGCTCAACCATTGGCTACTAGAGTGTGCCCCACAATAACTTCAAAAATAATAAATATGTTGTTGTTTTACTGTGTTTAATTTCAAGGCAGCCTCAAAGTGCATGCTACATATACTGCAAAGTGGTAACATATACATAAATATCATAAACAACCCTCTCAATTTATGATTTTCTTCTTTGAGTTCAAGCTTTTTGCTGTCATCTTTATCTTCTTCACTACTTTTTTTCTCTCTTGTCTGATATTAATTCTTCCTTATCTCATCATTTTCTTCACTACTTAATTTTCTTTCATTTTCTATTAGAAAAAGGAAGTCATTTGGAAGTCATGGACGAGTTAAGAAGCAAGGTCCCCGAATGTGCTCGTGGCCTTCCTATTCTGGTGGTGGATCATGACACAACATCTCTCATGTACTTGGCATCCATGCTAGAACAATATTCCTACCAGGGTATTTAATTTATTTTATATAATCTCTCTTTTCTTTTTTTTTTCAAATTTGTCCCTTATATACGAGAAAACAAACTTTAATTCATGCCTTCATTGATTATTGATAAGGAACAAATCTTGAAAACTTGAGAAAACTTGATCCCTATCAATTACAGTATATATACTTAATAACGAAAGTCTGAGTTCATGTAAAGATATATGCAATCTTTAATATTGAAAGTCAATGATATTAATTTTTCTTATTTATTTTACATGATTGTAAGTATTTGTATATAAACCTAATAATTTTAGACACAACACAAAATGATATGAAAAATGTGAAAATAATATGATTTAAAATTGATAAAAACCATAAATGAGTTTAATAAAACACAAAAAAAAAAAAAAACTTTTTGTTTTTGGCATGTCGGTAAAAATTGTGGCAATAATTTTTGTGTTTTATATGTAATTGACATAGAACAAACATAAATCATCAAATCCATTTCTATGCATAGCTTAATTAATATTTCATGTTCTATAAATGAGTGGCTAAAACCAATAAAAAAAAAAAAAAAACTAGGCTTTTTCTTTTACAACAAAAACACCAACAGTATATAGGAATGTTTTGCCCCATGCCCCCGTGAGCTTTTTTACAGAGATTGGAAGGCCAAGTACTTGATGAACTACTATTGACTCAAACTAATTTAATTTCTAAACCATACACACACCTCACAAGTTTAGTGAAACTCAAGTGAAATCCACATTTCTGGTTTATCACCGTTATTTCCATATTCATTTTTGCAATAAATGGTTTGTTAAATTTGTTTACCTTCCTATTATGTTTATAACTGATATAGGAAATTTTATGTTTAAATCTAATTAGTTTGTTTCATTATTATGTCTAAACTGATTAAATTTTGTTTCGGAACCTATGATAATTCTTGTATTTCTCAAAAAACAGGCATATAAAAAAGGTAGTGGGTCGATCACAAATAACAATCCTAACACATCCTATCTCCATTTATATTTTTTTTATTTAATTTTAAATATACGTATGATATAGGATGAAAAAATAACGATTAATTTGATTAACAATACATGTCTTTAACGTTATAATATGTATATATATAGAGTAGGAAGTCACTTACACTAATGTAATTTTATAATTTTTTGGATTCTTAGGTGTAAATTAAATCTGTAATTTATGTGAATCAAAATAATATTTTTAAATTTAGTAATTTTAATCCAAAAATTTTTTAAAATGTATGAATTACGTTAGTTTAAGTGGATCCATATATATATATATATATTTGATATAAAAGAGGTTGCAACCTTAGGGTAGGGAAGTGATTGTCACCTCTTAAGGATAAATATATACTTTTAAATATATATATATATATATTTGGATGAATTTCAGATCTTTTAAATGTCAAATATATATATTTATGAAATATACTTTTTGACTTTGTTCTAATATTTTCATTTTTCAAATATTTCCTTTCCAAAGCTTGTAAACCTTAAGTAATTGCTATATGATTCACGTAAACCTATTACGAAAGAAACTATATTATAAGCTGTCTCAATTTTTTTCAAAAGTAAAATTAAAAAATTGTTGTATATATAACACTATATTATCGTACTTGGAAGAAATTCTATGTCTTGAATCTTACTAAACTTGATATAAATTCCAAATACTGCTTAGTTTAAATTGTATAATTTCTATTATTTTGCAGTGACAACGACTGAAGTAACATCGGTTGCAGTGTCCATGATTCGAGAACGAAAGGAGAGATTTAAACTTGTTATGGCTAATATTAACATGGATGACATCAACAGTGTTTCGTTTTTGGGCATATTGATTAAGATGGATATCCCTATTATATGTGAGTTAATTTCAACTTCTAAATTATTTATATAAAGTTCCTTAATTGTCCTTTAATTTTGGCTACCATATGTATATGCATGCAGTGATGTCCTCTGAAAGAAGTCAAAATGCTGCCCAAAAAGCCATTGCTTATGGGGCATGTTTACATCTAGAGAAGCCGATTTCCTTAAATGATCTTCAATACCTTTGGCAACATGTGTATCGATCCGATAAGGACTCTATGAAGAAAGAAGCAAGTTTTGGAAAGGAATCTGGAGCTACAAAGAAGAACGAGGCGGCCACTGACGCTAAGCCTACAGCCGCTAGAAATGATCATTTCCGTGGCATTGATATGAGTACGACGACCAATGATCTAAAAGGGGAGAAAACTCGCATTGAACAGATACTAGCCATAGAAGGTCTAAAACATGGAGGATCCTCATCTAAGACAAAGAGATCATATGCTGATGAAGAAGAAAAAAGAAATGACAAGAGAAAACTACACCCTACTGATTCTGAAGAAAGGGAAACTGCCAGTGAAGAGGGAGGGAAAGAAAAGAAAAAGAACCAAAGTAGCTGCTCTAGAGTGAGGAAGTCACGTCTTGTTTGGAGCCAGGAGCTCCACCACAAGTTTACAGCAGCCATCAGTGCATTAGGCGATAAGAGTAACATTACTTTCTCTTACAACAATCTTTATCTTCCTTAGAAAGTGCTTAATTTCACAAATTTCAACCAAGTATTGATATACTTTTTTTTGGATCAGATGCTCGTCCGAAATTAATATTAAAGATGATGAATGAACCTAATTTGACACATCGCCAAGTTGCTAGCCATCTGCAGGTTCCCTTCTATCACTTATCAGTTACTACACTCTTTTTACACTTTAATTTGTCTCCTAAATTTTTTATATATGCTTCAGTTCTACTTAGATTACAAGTTATAGTATGTAAAATGTTTCTCCTGTAGCATGCTATTATGTTGGCATAAGATCGTTGATTGTGCGCTTTCTTTTATAACTCCTGCAGAAATATAAAGCTCAAGTCCAGCGTATATCCACAGCTTGCACCAGCAATTTGTCCTCGGTTGCCAATGCATCTACAAGCATTTATGGCAAACCAGGACTTTTCTGCATACCACAGCAGAACAAGTTAGTCTTGAGTCATCTAGGACACAAAAGTCCCAACTTCTCAATAGGAGGTAATACAATATTTTTTTAACTAGTTCTAGTTTACATTGGCAATATACTTTTATTGGTAACTTTATAATGAAACATGTCCACGTGTTTTGAGACTTGAAATAGACATGAGATCATGAGCATGGAACCATCTTATTATAAGAACACAAACTTCAAAGAAAGAAAATTTTCTAAATGTGATTCTCTTATTTTCCAGCAGACACTTGTCAATATCTAAATTTTCCTCAAGAATCAACAGCTCCTATCAGTTCACTATATCAGAATCAACAGTTTCCAAATGTGCCTCAAAACATCCATCAAAAGCAACATGTTACTCTAGATTCAACTGATTCAATTAGTTCTTTGAATCAGACTCAAGAACTTCCAAGCATGCTCCCCTATATGCATCAAAAGCTAGATTTTATTCCAGAATCAACTGTTACTGCTAGCATTTCAGTAAATCAGAGTCAAGTTTTTGTGTCATCGACTCAGACAAAAAAAAGTATAGATTTTGTGGCGGCAGAATATAGTGCAATGCCAAATGCAGACAAATCTGTGACAGAGATCATTGGTCAGAACGCAGAGGTGGACACTACAACATATGCAGTAACTTCAACAATACTTTCAGAAAATCAGAAGCAACACTCACCAGAGTTTGTTGATTTGTTGAAAGTTCTTGATGATGAGGCAGATGAGTGTAGAGGTTCTGGCATTGAACCACATCCAGGTGAGGTTGATCAATATTGCGAATGGCTGAAAGAAGCTATGCTAGGAAACAATGAACAACCCTAATTGTTTGGTAAGTGTAGTTTTTATGACATTTAGTTTGTCCCTTGACCAGTGCCATGCTAATTAATAATGTTATCCCACAAATGCAGGTTGCACTATGTTGTTGCCCCGACATGTGATATTATACTTCATGCAATATCAGCAGTAGGTAACAAAAAGAAAAAGAAAAAGTTAGGTTCAAGCGGAGATAATAAAACGGCTAATTCGTGGAGATGTGAAGAAGAAGTTGAGTCTTTTGGGTTTTGTGGAACATTCCTCTCTCTCCTCGGAGTAATTAAAGGTTGTTTTCATGAGCAATGGAAATAATTTTTGAAAATTTTCAGTTGGTGATTAATGATGATGTGGCTTTCAATAAGGGATAAAACTTGGATGAGTTAGTTTGTGAATTTCATATCTAAAAATAATTTAATAAAAAATTGAAATTGGTAAATTAATAAAATTAAATGTGAAGATCAATAATAAGTAAAAAATTATTAAAAATGTCCTTTATAATTCAAATTTAATTGGTAATTATGTAATGGTAAAACTTTTATTAATATTTTTACTGAAAATGTTTATTTAAAAAATTTATCAAATTTTATCAATTTTTTTTTCAAATTTTGCACATTAGATCTATATAACAAGACCTTTCAATTTATTAGTTTTGGTTTTCGATTTTAATTTTTATTTAATTATTTCTAATAAATACTTTCACAAACTTCACTTTAACAACTTCACGTAAATGCGACCAAGTAAATATAAGGATAGATTAGAATTTTAAAAGAAAGAAGCGAAAGAAAATGACTCAATGAACAAAGTCTTTGGTTCCTTTCAAATTGCTCCACTAGATGAAATGTTTTTCATGTAATATTAGTATACACACCAAATTTTATCCAAATTAATTTGTTAAGCATTTTCCATTTTGCTTGAATCTACCAGGTTTAGGACAGTTTGAACATTTCAATTAATTATTATCTTGATAAGTTTTTTGGATTTAATAAGCCTTTGAATGGGCCGAACTATATAAATCCAATTACAATAATTCAGGCTTGAAGGCCCAATGTCTAAGATATTTGGGCTTGAAAGCCCAAATAACTTTTGAGCCAAAAAACATTTTTTTAATTTTAATTTTTAATTTTATTTCTTTTTTAATTATTCCATTTGATTTTAATTTCATTTTAAAATAATATATATATATAAGTTTTTGTCAAAAGTAAAAGAAAAAAAAAGACAAAATTTTGAATAGTTGAATTCAAGCTACCAGCACTGCCCACCCTGACACCTATTTAATTTTGCAGTAGTAATCATGATGGTAGCTCAAAATTTCTCTTTCAACCCTAAAAATTTTGGGATTTGCACTATAAATTACTTTTTAAATGGAGTTTTAATCACATACAAAGAGAGGGGATTTGGCCAAAAAAAATAACTTTTTCTTTTAAACTGAAACCCATTACCAAACACCACCATAACAGTGTCTCCAACAAAAAACTATCATTAGCTACATCCCTAAAGGGAGACTCAAAGAAAATAGAAAGGCAAATAAAAAAAATCAAATTTTATTTTATTTTATTTTTTTGGCTAAAACTTTCAGCTGAGATTGAGGTTGTTTGAAATCAAGTTTTTTAAAAACTAAGCCTAGATCTAACCTAAAAAGGTCGGAATGAGGATTTTTAAAACTTTTGGGTTTCTCCGGCAATCGACGATAGCAGCCAACAAAAGGCATGGCAATTGTCATCGGATTCTAAGTTAAATGGCTCGTTTTTGGGTTTTATTTTAGAGAGATAAGAAATGTGAGAAAAGAAAGAGGGAGAGACAAAGAGAGAGAAATGAAGACAAGTTTTGATTTAGGCTATTTAAACCCTAGCCAAAACGATGTTGTTTCTGCTTTAAAAGATCCATACGTCAACCCAAGACTTGACTTGAGATCTGCGCGACCTAACCCATTTTTTGACCCTTGAGCCACTAGAGCCAAAGGCAATTTTTGAGTTGAGCTGAGCTGAGCCATTTGAGCCATCCAGCCAAGCCATTAACCTAGTTGAGATGTCAATGACCACGTTGACCATGGGCATTTTTGTATTTTCTTCATAATTTTGTATTTTTTTTCTTTTTTTACTTAATTTTTTATATTTTATATTATTTTTATTTTTATTTTTTTGTGATATTTTTATTTTATTTTTATGTGAACTTTGTTGATGAAAATAAAAGAAATGGTGGAGAATATTTAGGAAAATTTTGTGTGAAAAATAAAATATTTTTTGGTTGAAATTTATTTAAAATAATTATAAAAATAATAATAAAAAACATATTTAGAATAAAAAATGAACTTAGAAAAAGTTGAAACTATCATTTTCTCCTAAATACTTTTAAAACAAAAAATGAAATGAAATGAAATAATAAAAGCAAAATTCTAAATAATGAACAAGAATAAATAAAAAATGATAAAATTAAATATTTAAACAAATTTTCGTATATGAATATTTTCAATAAAATCACAAGTGGTGATTTTATTGAAAATATTCATAAACGAAAATTTTTTTTAAATATTCTAAAAGTGTTAGAAATATTTTAGAAATTTTCAAACACAATAAAAATAATAATATTTGCTCTAAATAAATAGGAAAAAATAAATAAAAGAAGAAGAAGAAGAAGAAGAATAATAATAATAAAATAAATAAATAAATAAAATTACAACTAATGATTTTAATAATAATTCTTGAGAGAGGCATTTTCCAAAATTTTGTTGAAAGTGTTGGTTGAATTTTTGAAACTCTTTTCAATAAATTAATAAAAAATAATAATAAAAATATAGAATGATAAAAAAATATAATACTTAATAAATACTTGTCAAGATAAGTAAAATCTTTCTATAATGAGATTAAAATAAAGTCATGAATAGTGATTTTATTGAAATTTTTTAGGTAAAGAATTTTCTTAAGATTTTATTAAAAGTGTTGAAAAAATTTTAAGAATTTGACCAATAAAATGTTTACTTATTCAAATAATAATAATGAGTAATTGTTTCAAAGTAGATTAGGACTCTCCCCAAAATTTTTAGATAAAAATTCTTTTAAAATTGTACTAAAAATGTTGATATGGTATTTAGAAATGCTTTGACAAGATAATTATAATTTGCTTTGTTAGTAAAATATCAAATTACATCTGATCATAGAGCCCTTTCAAGGAAATAAATAATTCTTTTAATACTTTTGAAGTGAAAAAATTTATTAAATTATATCAAAAGTATCATAAATAATAGAAAATTTTTAATATTCAAATAACAACAATAAAATGATGAAATAATAAGTAAAAGATAATTTGAACAAGACCATTTTAGGATCCTATAAAATTAATTAATGCTGCTTTTTAGACATGTGCTATAAAAGTGCTATAACATTCTTTATGTGTAACTATAATCCAAAATCCAATTTCAATTTCGTAGACTGAGATAAGAATGGTGGCTAATCACATTTAAACAAAAAATTTTGATGAGAACTCCTAATTATTACGTCCAGCAATCGAGTTCCTGGATCGATATGTTATGACAATTAATTTCTTAAACAATATTTAATACAACTTCGGTTTGAGTAACAAAAAAATTAATGTGCAATATTTCGGTTTATCAAAAACCAAACTAAGTGCATCAAAAAATTGAATTGGTCCTAATTCAATTTTATCGCTATTATGGTTTTATTTTTAAAATTTTAATCCTTTTTTAATGTTATTTTTAGTTTATTACTTAAAATTAGAAATTTTATTTATGAAAAATAAAAAATAATATAAATTAATAAATCCTGCAATTTTATTCTATTTAAATAATTTTGATTTTTCAATTTATGGATCGAAAATATTACAAAAACGAATGTATCTATATAATAACTAAACTGAAATTAAATCTAGAATAATAAAATTTTAAAGTGAATCCAAATTTTATTTTAAATTTTTTTTAATCCTAGCTTAACTTTGTGATTTTTTATATAGATGTGTTATATTATTATTATTATTTAGGAGATACGTTAGTATTATTAGTTGGACGTATCAAAAAGGTGATAGTAATAGCTATTTAATAATTTTTTCTAGCGGAAAGTGGAAAATAAAAGAATGATAGGTTTAAAATGGACTTGTTTTCTTAGAGAAGGTGTTATCATTACGACCTTATGGACCTATCTGTTCAATAGTTTTCTTCTGAATTTTTTTTTTCTGTCATGAACATGGCTGGTAAAAGTACTCCTGAAGCTGTGGTGGGAAACAATCGTAGCAAGGAAGTGGAAATGGAGCCTCATAGCAAAGTAAAGAAACTGGGAGAAGCTGTAGTCGAGCTGAAGAACGATGATTTGGAGCAGGAGGGAAATGAAGCAGAGCTGATATGCAGCTGAGAGAGAGCCGATATGCAGAATATGGACAAGGAGCAAAATGGCGGCTAATCATTAGCTAGGCGCATAAGAGTCAGCGCTGTTAGTTATTTTTGAAATAGTGATTAGCTATTTTGTCTGTATTAGCTAAGGGTGTATCACCATTCTGTTACGGGTTACACCTGGCCTGCATATATGGTCCACTTGTAAACATCTTGAAATTCATGAATGAAAACGGTCAAATTCCACTCCAGTGTGTATTCTCTTCTCCTCTCTTATTCCTATCTTCTACTTTTGCTCTGTATCAGCTGATCTGCTACATTTTCTTTTTAGACCTTTTTGCTTCTCCCATCTCTAATCAGCAATCATCTGCTCTCGTAGATTTTGATAATTGTTAAATACTAAATTGATATTTGAACTATGTTTCAATTTAGTATTTAAAGAATAAAAATTTATAATTAAATATTTAAAATTTGTTTTTATTCAGCATATTGTCTCGTTGATTAACACCAATATTGATTTGTCAAAAATTAACAAATAAAAATATTGTTTTATTATATTATTTTTATTTTTTTGAAAACTATTTTAAAAGATTGTTTTTTTCTTAAAATTTTTTAAATTTTCATCGTTGAAATAAAAATGAAGAAAACACTAAAAATAAGTCAGGAAGAGAGA